CAGTTTCCTTTGTCTCTAGTCTCTTTGTCTTTCCTCCCCTCTCTGAAAAAAAAAAAATTCTCTTCAATGTCTGGTGATTCAGCTATTTGCCTCTGCTTATATAGTCCACAGAGTAAGCCAGAGCCAGAAGCTAGCTGAGCAGCGACCATTCACAGTGTCTCCAGTGCTCTACCAGGAGGCCTCAGTTCATCCTGATTTACCATTAAGCCCCTTCTGTCAAAAATCATTCATACCTGGCACCAAAGTTGTGCCAGGTTTCCAGGAGCAAGGTACCATTCACCTCAGCACCCTGTCACCCACACGGATGTGGGGAGGGGAGAGGCTGGAGGGGGGAGGAGGGGCGGAGAATGGAAATGTGCCAACAATGGGAAAACTTCTCCCTATGCCAGGTCTGATGTAAGACCAGTAGAAGCACGAGGGATGGTTAGGGGAGGTGTTGAAGTGGCCCCAAGCAGAACTGCAGTTATCAACACCCTTCAGGCAAAGACCACCAGTTGACTTAGTTGGATTTACTGCTCTTTGCAACCAGGAAGAACACATACCTTGGGGAACTGTGGGGCATCTCAGTAAGAGGGTGTTGGGAGGGCTTGTTATAGGATTTGGCTTGTGTTGTTAGGTGATCTGGGGGGAAGTTCAAGGAAGCAGGGCTTTGCTCTAGATTAAATGTTTTCAGGAAGTGGCTGTAATTCTGATTGAGCATCTATGTGAGTTTGCTACGGCTGTCATGACAAAAATACCAGACTGGGTGGCTTAGACAACAGAAGTTAATTTTCTCAAGTTCTGGAGGCCAGAAGTCCAAAGTCAAGGTGTTGGCAGATTTAGTTTCTCCTGAGGCCTCTTTCCTTGGCTCGCAGATGGTCACCTTCTTGCTGTGTCCTAACATGGTCATCCCTCCAAATCTGAGGGCACCTGTGTGTCCAAATCTATTGTGTGTCCAATTTTCCTTTTCTTATAAGGACAGCAGTCAGATTAGATTAGGACCCACCCTAACAGCCTCATTTAACATAATCACTTCTTAAAGACCCTATCTTCAAATATAGTCACCTCCTGAGATACAGGGGTATGGGCTTCAGCATATGAATTTTGTGGGGACACAGTTCAGCCCATAACAGCATCTTAATACATCTTGTCTATAAGGTGGGTGGAATGATGGAGGCTAGAGCTGGGGTTGGTAAAGAAGCGGCAGTCACTCATTAGTCAGGGTAGGGGATGTTTAGTCCTTTTTGTGGTTTGGATAATGTTCATGTTTTGTCTGTGTTGTGACATGATCATGGAGTGGTCTTGTTTTTGTCTTTATCCATCATAGTCACAGAGTGGCCTTGGCAGATGTTGATATTCTGGGAATTATTTATGTTCAGCAGGAGAACACCACAACCTAGCTGTGGATATTGCCGACCAAGTCCTCACTGATACAGCCAGGTCAGTTTCTGGCTGTCAGGGGATGTTTCTTCCTTCTCAAGATCTGTGTACTGACTAAGCCAATGCAGCTTTGGGGTGATTGCCACCCTTTCTCACTTAGAAATTCTGGTGCCAACCTTGGGTGACCAAGGGAGTGTGGCAAAACTCTAGCCCCCTTCCAGGAATGCATGGAGTCTGAAGACCTAGAAGTGTAGGAAATCCGTCTTTAGCTGCCCACTTCGAAAACACACCCTGATGGTGGAGCACCATGCTGGAACTCCTTGGAATTCCTTGGCACCCTGCTTCACCTGGTGTATTTGTTTTCGGTTGTTGCGTAACAAATCACCTCTAACTCAGTGGCTTAACACAGCACACATTTATTATCTTGCAGTTTCTCTGGGTCAGGAGTTCAGGCATAGCTTAACCGGATCCTCTGCTTAGGGTAACAAAAGGCTGCAATCAAGGTGTTTCCCAGGACTGGGTCCTCAGCAGAGGCTCCACTGGGGAAGGATCTGTTTCTGAGCTCTTGCAGGTTGTTGGCAGAATTCATTTCTTCATGGCTGTAGGACTCATGGCAACTTCTTTTTCAAAGACAGCAATGGAGAGAGACTCTAGCAAGCTAGGCACTCCATGCACATTCCATCCCTCTTGCCACATTCCATTGGTTAGAAGCAAGTCCCAGGGCCCGCTCACACTCAAGGACAGGGGGTTAAACAAAAGTATGAATACCAGGAGGCAGCAGTTTTGACCATTTTGGGAAACCTGCGGTGTGGTAAGTGACTCAGGACTTGGATGGCTGCAGGCTGGCCGAGCCAGGCAGGGCAAAGGCACAGAGGTGCAGCAGAAGCCACAGCAAATCCTCTGTGTATCCTGAAAGCTCTGCTTTTGAGGAAAGATCTGATTTGGGGGAAAGAGCAGAAAGATATCCAGGGCATAATTTCCTCAGGTGACTGCTATGAAGGGACCAAGACTCACAGGTTGGTGTAAATTCAGGAAGCCATTGGTAGGGGCACAAAGGAAGAAATTAAGAGTAGGTGGACAGAAGGAGGGTTTCCGGGGTATCAACTGTACATGAAGGAGAAACAGAAGGAGGAGGGAAAGGATTAGAAACATCCAGGTCTTTGGCAGTGGGATGTGAGAGGTATGGACCAAGAACAATACTCAAGTGGGGGAGGTGAACCTGATAACAGAAACTCTGTGCATAGGCAGAGGGGAGGCTACAGGGACCTTTAGCATCTCCTTTCTGACCATGAAAGGGAAGCAAGGAAGACTTTCAGCTTAGATGTCTTTAGAAGGCAAGTGAGGACCAGGCCATGCCCACCTGCCGGTCACCAGGTCTGGGGAAGCACCCTGGAGCTATAGGGGACAATGTATGTAGGGTAGATGTGTGTTTGGACACTGAGTGTCTTATAGAATAAATCTTCCTTAATGATGGGTCTGACTAAGGCAGGAAGCTCCACCTAAAAAATGTTAGAACCAAACAAAGTTATCCATATACTAGACATTTCAAACTCAGTGTCTGACTGTATTCTGGGCCTTGAAATAAATCCCAGCAAATTTAAAATATTTGAAATTATACAGAGTATAATTATAATGGAGCTCGATTAGAAATCAGTAACAACAAAATATCTAGGAAAAATCTATAACTTGGAAGTCAAGTAACATACTGCTAAGTTATCCACTTTCAAAGAAAAAAAAAATCACCAGGGAAATTAGAAAGTACTCCCAACAGAATGATAATGAAAATAAATCTTTTCAAAATCTGTGTGATGCAGCTAAAGCAGTGCTTTGAGGGAAATTTATAGTTGTAAATATTTATAGTAGAAAAGAAGAAAGTTTAAAAGTCAGTGATCTAAGGTTCCACCTTAAGAAGCTAGAAAAAGAAGAGCAAAGTAAATCCAAAGTAAGTAGAAGGAAGGAAATAATAAAGGTAAGAGTAGAAATCAAAGGAACAGAAAAGAGACAGTAAGAAGACTAACAAGTTCAGTCATGTTTTCTGACACATTATTCCTCCCCCTCTTCCCTCTAGCCACAGCTGATTGGATGAGAATTCATTTGGAGTGGGGGAAAGAGTATGAAATAATAGTTAATTACTTCCTTTTGAGTTCTTGATGCTTGCATCTCACAACCAGAGAGAACTTCTTTTGCCAGTAGGTGGCAGCGCTGGCAACTTGAAAACCCGGACATGCTGCCTTCTGGGTCGGCTGGGGACCAATGATTGCCGCCGGGCTGAAACGAAGGAGTCATTTCAAGACAGGAGAGAGAGTCAACTCCAGAAAGCAAATCCTCACTCGAATTTAGAATAGGGAAAAGTTTGACATCTCTCTCTCAATCCCCCTCCTTCTGTCTCTCCCTCCCTCCCTCCCTCCCTCCCTCTCTCTCTCTCTCTCTCTCTCTCTCTCTCACACACACACACACACACACACACACAAATCTGGAAAACCTGAATGAAAGCTTGAAAAACTTGCCTTTTAAAAACATGGGGTTCTTAACTGGAAGTACTGCTGATGGGCACCAGAGGCTCAGAAAACTCCTCCTCCCACTGTGAGCAAATCGCCGCCCCCCCCCACCCCGCCCGAGATTTTCCAAAGTTTACATCAGATTCCCAAAATGCACGGGGACTTAAAACAATTAGGATACCCTGCTTACGAATGCTCCGTTAAACCACACTCATAAATTAATCGGGCAGGAGTCTGGGCTGTACAGGGAGGTGGTGGAGTGCACCCAGGCCTTGGGTGGGAGGTGGGAGAGGCTGAGCACACCCCGTTGCTTTTATAACTTTTTCTTCCTGAAGGGTCACTGCTGGAAAAAACCCCTTGGGGAGTTTCGAGCGGAAAGAGAGCGACCACTTTTTGCAGACCTATTATGTGCGTCCTAAATGTCCTCATTTAATCTTTGCAGTAATCCTTCGAGTTCGCTGTTAATCCTTCCTATTACTCTCCCAAATCCCTTAAGAGGGCACTTAATGGACTGCAGGCTTTCGTGGTACCGGGTTTTAACTGAATGCACACACTGACTAGTCCCCTCTTTTACAGACAAAACTTCCCTGCGATTGCCTTTGTTTACATGAACTTGCCTTTAAAACTAGCCTTTCATTTATTTCTTTGGTCTATTTCTTTCCATCAAGAGCCACCCTCAGAATTGGCAGCGTGAACGCAGACGTAAGGGCAGGAGCTAGTACGATTTTCGGTTGAATTTAGAAGACAGTCCTGGAGCCTCGCTTTTCCCTTCTGGTTCACGGGGTGGCCGGCGGCCGGGGCAGGGTTTGGGCGGGAGAACCGGGGCCGCGGACCCCGCGGCTGCCTCCGCTCGGGGCAGACGGGCGGCGGAGGGGTTGGGCGGGGTCGGGGTTCGGCCTCACGTGGCCGCCGTCTCCGGGCTTGGGGGTGAGCCCCGGCCCGAGGCGGTCGCGCTAACCGCGGAGGGAGCCGGCGAGAGGCGCGGGGAAGCGGACGAGCGCCCCCGGCTCCTCGAGCCCGGCGCGCCATGGCGGGCGCCGGGCGAGTACGCAGCCCCGCGGCCGCTGGCTAGCCGAGCCGGGAGGCCACTGTTGGGTCCCTCCTTCCCTCGGTGCCCCAGGCCTCGGAGCCACCGAAAGGAGGATGAGTCCCTGGAGCTGGTTCCTGCTGCCGACCCTGCTGCCGACCCTCTCCCTGCTGCCGACCCTCTGCCTCCTGCCCGCGAGCGCAGCCCCTCCGCGCGGCGCGCCCGCCTCCGCCAACTGCAAGCTCAAGGCCCAAGTAAGGCGCGCAGCGGGCGCGGGCTCGGCGGCCTCCCGGCACCTCCTGGGGGTGGTTACCTTCCCAACCGCACTGAGCCCCGCGCTCTTGGACCCCGAGCCGACTCAGCGGGCCGGGCTCCCACCTGGCACGGCGGCGCCTCCTAGCTCGCGCTTCCCGCCGAGCCCCCGGGTTCCCCTTTCCGGCGGGGGCGCAGAACTCCAGCCACACGAGACCCTGTCCCCCCAGCCGTCGCCATTCGTCAGCCTAAGGGAGTCCCGGGCCGGGTCTTCCGTTTCTCGCCAGCCTGCTTCGCTGGCGTTTGAGGGACGAATCCGCGAAGACCCAGTGGGCCCGGGACTTGGGCACATTTACTTTTGTTTGTTCTGCCTGCTCGTCCCTAGCGTTTCATTTCTGCTCGTTTCGAAATGGTATTAGCCCCCAGCAGCTGCTTGATTTAACCTTCGTCTATTCAGTGCCTGAGTTAGGAGGAATGTGGGGGGAGCTGAAGCCATCCCCCTTGTTTTACTGATATGGGAGACTGAGGCTCAGAGAGGGACTTTTGTGCTCCAGGTTACAGAGCGCGTTCGTGGAGAGACCAGGTCTGACAGCCTAGCGTTCACGCACCCGGCGCCTCCTTAGATCTTCGCATCAGCGTTTTGGGGTGAGGGGAGCCGAGATGAGAGAGCCCCAGTGACCTGCCCGTGTCCACCCAGCCCTATAGGAGCAGAAGCCGAACGGAAACCCAGCAGGTCTGGCGTCTCCGGGGCTGAACCTCTTTCGAGAAGAGCGTTTCCATTTCCTGGTCAATTTTCCTACGCTCGGAATTTTCTGCAGGTCTGAAGTCCCTCTCTTCTGAGCTCCGTGGAAGTTGACTTTTGCGAGTTTACATCGGTGGGTCCAGTCTCTGTGGATCCCTGGCGCTGGGGAGGGTGATCGTAGACTGAGCGCCCTCGGACGCCGGTTGCCGGAGTTCAGGGGTCTGCCCACCTTCGGTCACACCTGCGCAGCATCCGGGGCCGCGTCCACTTCCCTCCGTGATTTTATTCATCGTCTTAACCACAGCAAGGGAGAAGGTGACCTCACTGAGCCGTTCCTGGCGCACAGGGCTGCCCGGGAAGCTGCACTGTGTTCCTAGGGCGCCCTGGGCTGCGGACGCGTGGAGGCCGAAGAGGGAAATCCTCACCAGGGGTCGTTCCAAACTCTGCTGCGGTGTGGCAGAAGTCCATCCTTTCATACGAAAGCAGAGTGCCTTGCACTTTTGCGAATCTATTACCAACTCGTAATAATATTATCGAGTGAGTCTTGATAAAGTCTCTGTTTCTCCCTTCTGTTGAATCTGTCTTCGTGGGTCTCTTGTTCTGTCAGTTCTCATACTTTTTGGTCTCATAGTAAAACACTTGTGTGGGTTAACGGAAATATTAATAAAACGCAAGAATACACATGCCATTGACTGTCGGAGGGTGATGTTATCTAGAGACTTGTAGCCTCTAGAAAATTCTGTTTGTACACTTGTGAGAGAATGAAAGAGGAAAATATCTTTGTATTATTATGAAAATAGCTCTGATCTTACAGACTGCTTGAAAGGGACTTGGGGACATTCACAAGTCCCTGGACCACACTTTAAGAATCAGTGTTCTATTCTGTGGGCAAACTGCCTTGTCCTGTGTGGAGGTCAGAAGGTCAGTCAGTGGCAGGGCTGTCTGCTTGACCTGCAGGCTGTAGAGGGCACCGTGGGTGGGTCCCCCAGGGGGTTGGGGTGTTGAGATTATAGAGTGAGGCTCTGGAATCCAGCCTCCCATCCGGTGTGGCAGCTTTCTGTAGCCTTCTGGAAGGACCGTGGCTTGATAGCTGGCTTGGTTTTCAACTTGCGTTAATCATTAGAGAGGTCTTCTGAGCCAAAGTCCGCCACAGACAAGGCAGGCTTTACCTGGAGCAACACACAGGTTGAGTCTGTTCCTTATCAACACTCAAACACAACTCTGTAGTGTTCTTACCAT